AGAGGGCAGAGCATGTTTAATCCCTTCTTGATGAGGAGGAGCATTAGCTGTGGATAGAGGAGACTTTTTTAGAAATCAAATGAATTTCCCCATTGAATCCGTTTAATTAATTAGTTCATACCGGCAGAGAAACGATAGTATCACAAGTAACCCAAATACAGCAAGATCAGCAAACAGGCAGCAAACAAGATATGAGCAAATGTTATATTCATAAATAGAGATCTTCCCACCAAAATAATAAAATAAAAGTAAACTTATTGTGTGTTTATTGTGCATTTTTCTTATGAAACATTTGTGAATATCTTTGTCACAAAGTAGTACATTTAAACTTAAACTGATGAGCATAGTCATTTCAAGAATGCAGTCTGGTGATGAGAAGTTACAGTAGTCCAACTGTGAATGAGAAATAATTTTGTAGTGGTTTTGAGTATTTTAAAATGGCTGTGATTAGGTTGGGTTAACTGAAGGCAGCTGTATAATCACACACGTTACTTCTGTGCAGATATGTTATATACCCCAGACTCGAGATGATTAGGAATAAAAATGTTCAGTGAACAGTTTGCTTCTATTGTGTGATCGTATTTATAAGATGCAGAATATCTGTTTCTCTATTTTCTGTCTCTCTGGGCAAGCTAGGGTCGACATGTACCATATGCTACAGCCTAAGGGCAGAGTTGTAGTTCAGGGCATTGGGTTTGAGAGGACAACTGCTGTTGCCTGCTAAAGTTGTCAGCATGTGGAGTGTAGCTCATTTGTGGCATAGCTGCCATTTCCCTTGGACTGTATGTGTTTTTATCCCTTTTATGTGATGAATATTGTAGCTGGACTTGTTTCCCATTTCTCTCCATGATTTGATTCATTATAATTTAGCATTTTTACTGGTTGTCATCTTTTGCCCATGCCTGAGAGAGTTGGTCAGACCTAGATCTGTGTGGGAGATGAAGACTCCTCGTTGTTTACGTGAACACACTGGAATTAATCAGATAACTACACGCATATTTCCTTTAATAATGGTGTTCTGGCCTCTGTAGTAAAATGTTGTGAGCATCATGAGTGGAGTGCTCATTATGCTCACAATAATGAGCATAATGAGCACTGAGTTCTAGCAGGACAAGAACAGAGATGAATTCACAAGATACTTTGTAACCTTCACTGGTGCTTGTTTCTCTAGTATGATGAGCTCTAACTCCTGACTGAAACTCTTCAAATAAACAAAAGAAAGGTATTCAGAGGAATCATTCACCCTGGACTGGGGATGAACTAATAAGACACTACTTTAGAGTACAGAAAAAAAGATATGGAAATTCAGCTTGGAAAATTGTGGTGAAATAACTCAAAAAGAAAAACGTATCCTGTGTTAAGGAAAGATTTTTTATTTATTTATTTTTAAACATGTTTACGAGCTTAATTGGAGTGACAAATTGTTTTGTGTATTAGTTGAAGTTCTGATAAAACTGGTATGACACTCAGGCTTGAGACACAAATGATCTGATAGACGACCAAATAAAGAATATAATTATATACACACAGGATGGGCAACAACAGACAGCTAAATCAAATCTCTTAAGAGGACATGGGAAGTAAAACTAAAAGTAAGACACAAATGACTATCAAAACACGTCAGAGAGTAAAACAAAAAATGCATAATGGAGAGTAAGACTTGCCAACAAGATACAAGATGATAATTAAGAACTTTGAAGACAAGAGAAACAAAGACTAACCAGACGCTACTATTAAAAATAAATAGTGCTGTCAGCATTAATCTCGTTAAAATGACATTAAGGCCATAACCGCATTAACGCGGCAAAACTCTGTTAGCGAGTTAACGCGGATCGCCCCGTGCAATGGGCTGCACGATGCTAACGCTTTAAAGAGCTAACCACGCTAACACGTTGACACTGTGCACGGGGCAATCTGCATTAACTCGCTAACAGAGATTTGCCGCGTTAATGCGATTATGGTGTTAACGTCATTCTGACAGCACTAAAATACATAATTTTTTTTTAAAAACTACAAAATAATAAGTTCAACATCAACACTCAGATTGTAATTGTAACTGAAAATGCTAAATACTAAAGAATTTAAAGTTCACGAAACGCAAAACTTTGAGTTTCAAAACCAGGGCCATTGCATGCTGGTACCCTTTGGTACGCTGGTGCCTAAATAACTACATTTCTGTTAGATGACAGCAAAGCTAGCTAATATTAGCTTTCCAATATTTAGGCTGTAATGACTTCTTTTATCATTTTACTGCATCCTGCTGTGTGAGCAAACATTACTGATGTGAAAACTAATAGAATTAGTTGTTATCTAATCCCATCATTTCTAGATCCACGAATTGAAAATGTCACGCTTGGTTAATGTGAATCCTTTCATTTTTATAACATAAGCTGTATTTGACTTTAACAGCCTACTTCTCTTTTTGTATGCGTGCGTTTTCTGTTTGTTTTTTACATTTACAAATCTCACTTGTACATAATCAAATAAGTGTGTGATTTCTACATTTAATATCTGGTGCAGTAATTGTGCTTTTAAATTGTTTTTGTTGTTGTTGTTGGGGTTTTTTCCACAGTGGAAAAATTGATTTGTCATAAAAAGAAAAATCCTTTCCGCAGAGACTGGGAAAACTGTTCCACCAGGGCTCCACTCATAATATTCATATTACTGTACTGCAGTGGGTGGAAAAAATGAATTTATTTGCATTTCTTTTTGCCAGCTACATGAAAACATGTCTAAAATCTGTGCTATACTTGACTGGTCTCCCAGCGAGACATCCCAGTGAGCGCAGTGAGACTGTGGAAGTGACAAATCAACTGTGCACACAATGCAGCAATTTTGATTCTATGCCTGTGTGCACAGTTGAAATGTCGAGTGCAAAAAATATTGTCGGGGCTTCAGTGAGCCTCTCTCTTTGGTCTTTAGACTTTGAGTAAAGTGTGACAGGAAGTAAATCCATCTCTGCTTGTGATGTGATCAACAGTAAATAATGTGCAGGAAGCCGAGGGAGACGCACAAAGTATATTTAACATGCTGATCACTGGGATCCATCAATCATCCAGCACAAAAACGAAAATAATCTCTGGATGGCTGGAAATGTTTGCAGAGTCAGGCCAGTATAGCGTGTGCACTAGTATCCATTGTTTACTGCCGCTGGTACAACCTGCTTTGTCGTCTCCATGAGCAAACTGTGTATTCTACCAGTGTGGCACAAGCAGCACACGTCATAGTGAAGAACCTGTCCAACCAGCGAGCTGGCACTGTTGTGCTGTAGATCTCTGGTGCATCTATTAATATATATTGCTTGCTTGATTGAAATTCAAGTCCCCGCTCACCCACATAGGGCTTTTGAGATACTCGGCTTATCTGTCTTCTCCTCAGGTTGATGTTGGGTGGAGCAATTACGGGGATTAAGCAAGGTCATAAAGTTTGTGCAAGACTGATAAAGGCTTAATAAGTGCATCAAAACTGAGAGTATTGAAAGAAATGTGAACAGACACACCCTCCAGTCAGAAAGGCAAAAGAAATGGGGCAAAATAAGTGAAAACACCTGTTTGGGTGGAGTTTGGAGCAACATGAGTAAAGAATCACCTGTGTGACATTAAGGGAATTAAAAATAGGTTTGTACTGCAAGTCAGTACAAAGCACATTAGGACCACTTTAGCTAAAAAACAAAACAAAAACAACAAAATTGTTATCCTCTCTGCAAGGACAGTAGGAGGATCTGAAGTTTGAGTCAGCGTTAGAAGACTCATTTTATTGTTCTATAAGCATTAATATGTAATCATAATAGAGCATCTACTTTAGACATTAAATATTTAAACATTTTAAACATAATTTAATGAATTACTGGAATTAAAAAGAGTGAATGTTGTCTCCAGGAAGTTTAACTGGTTTAGAGTGGCAAGGTAGAGTGGGTTGTGTTCAAGTTAAAGAACACGGGTGCAGATTTCCAGTTAAGGTTGATTTATTCAGCTGTGGTTATCAGCAGCTTTATCACAGCCACACATGGTATATGGGTGGCACGTTTAAGGAGTGTCAGTGTTGACATGGTGATTTCAAAAATGTAGGACATATCAAACTTCTACAAAGAAAAGTCTATAAATGGATGAAACATACCACTATACACAAGTGATTGTGTGTTTTAATGATAGAGTTGTACCATTGATAAGACTGTTAACCCACACAGTTTACCTTTCAGGCAGCTTTTTTCCCACCTTCAGATATGTCAGACTTTTTTCATGTACCAGCTCTTTTCCAGTTTTATTGGCCAAAATATTTAAAGTGCACACTTTTAAAACCGCTGCTCTTTTTACTGTACTACTTTGCTTCTTTGTCTGCAGCTGCTGCACTGCTCTCAGTGTGTATTAATGTATAATCTGTTTAGATTGGTTCCCCCATGGTAGCTGTAGTTTATAGCTGTGTCCCAAAACGTAGGCTGCATCCTTCGGAGGCCGCATTTGAAGGCAATCACAGCCAGGCCACGAAGGCTGTCCCAATTCGTCGACTCTTTCAAATGTGGCCGACAAATGCGTCCTTCATTTCCCCGAATTTGAAGGATGGGTCGGGTGTGTCCTTCATGGCCCACCATATCCCAGAATTCATAGCATGGCCCAGCCAATTCCAGTTTCCAACAATGGTGGCCGCTACTAAGTTTTAATATTACTCTTATTAATCTTTCTGGGTCACAAAATAAACTTTTAACATATATTTTAACGTAAAAATTTAATTGTTTGGCTTTTTTCAGTGTTTTATTTGCTCCGGAGTAAATTGGTTTGGCTGAGATCAAAGTTATTAGATTATTAGATTAGATTAAATAAAACTTTATTAATCCATCGGGTGGGTTCCTCCGGGATTTTCACACAGCTGAATAAACGTCAAACAGAAAACTGATTAAACAGAAGTGTGAGACAGTCGAGTATTTACGCCAGTGTCCTGTTATATTTTAGATAACAAGGAGCAGACGGCCGAGTTTATTTAACTCCACCGAGACAGCAGTGACGCAAATCTGAAAGCTAGACTGTCACATTTCACAGTCTCGCACTTCCAGTTTTCTTGGTCTTCGAAGGACCCGGGCCACGTAGACCGTGAAGGCCGGGTCCTCCGAAGGATGCGGACTACGTCCTTTTCTTGCATTCATCAATGCTGGGTTAGTGAAAGATGGCAGCAGCTTCCACTCTTCTCTTAACTCCTCCATTAGCTTGTTAGCTTAGCATAGTTCATCTCGTGTTTCGCATTTGTCAGCAAAGCATTTCTCAGTGTCACTCTGACAGAGTATGTCTGCTTTAAACCTGAGTAATGCATAGCTAAAAAAAAAAAAAGTATTTCACAATGGGTTGGAAAGACACAGACAATCCCAAGAAAAAGAAGGTATGAAAAGGTGAACAGGGCTGATATTTTCATGAGCATCACAAACTGCTACAGTTTTGTTATCAGAATGTTATCTGTTCAGTCCATTAACATATGGGAAGCCCAGGAGAACCAGATGAATATTTTATTTTATCTGGTACACGCAGGCAGGCTGCCTGACTCAGCCTGCTCAGCTGGAGAAAGGCCCAAAAGTGCAGAACTCTGTGGAAACCTCCTGAAACATGGCAGACATTTCTCAGCGTATGCATCAGTGAGCAGCTCTGATAGGAAGTCATCCTGATCTTTGAATGTCATCTCCAGGTCTCCTTAACGCAGCCATGCTCTGTCTAATCAAAGGAGCTTTTACATCTGAATGTTGTTCAGGCAAAACAGGAAGGATCATAGTTGTGCGTCACTTCTGAGCGTTTAAAGGTGAGCACATCACATCCAGGGAGGAAAACTAAGAGAGCAAAGGCCATGAATTCTCACAGTAGTTGTCTGATAACAATAGTTTAAAAATTGTCCGTTTATTGTAATACTCTCTTTGGATTTCTGGAAAATATTATTGGGGTCAGTGACCACAATAAATATGCTTCAACTGTCATTGAGAATGACCAAACTGAACACCAGATAAGTGGCTCACAGAAGAGCTGGATTAGCTCCAGCTCTAACAAAATGTCAGCAGTTATGCAAAACAGCAAAGCAAACAACAGAAAAAGTGTCTCCGTGTCAGCCAGGATGCAAGCCTCTGCAGCTGTGTCAGCCTAATTGGACAAATGTTTGTCGGTGCTGAAGAAAAATCTTTGTTTTGTATATGACCTATGAAGCTTAATTCTGTAATAAAACAGTCAAAAAGTCCAAACTGGACTAAGAAACAGAGATTATAAACACCCAGAGGGCTTATTGCAAAATGAGAAATGGATAAGTAAAAAGCACATGTGAAATTAAACTAGTAACACTGATGAGATCAGAAGGGAAAAAAGCAGGAAGTAAAACAAAAACAAGATGCGTGAGGAAACTAACTTTCAGAGTAAAACAGGACGTAACCTTGTAACAGCGTTTGCCAGAAGTGTGAGATGAAGACCTAATGCCAACATGAAGACAGAGATGGGGGAACACAGAAGACGTGAGAGGAAAGCACTAAAAACTCAGTAGATATGACAGGGTGCAAAATTCAACCAAAAACAAGAGCTTGCTGGCTCAGAGATCCCCCTTTGGGATTTTGGATGTTTTGCAGTATCGATCACCTGAGGGAAGGTGTGAGTGCAGGTTGAAGCGCCTGGGAAGGGATACCAAGAGTCACCTCCACAAGGGACAAATTAGATGAATGAGGGATCACTTTTACAAATTTTTTTTCATCATCTGGCAACCACAACTCTCTGTTTAAAGGAAAAAAATCAGGGTGATCCACTGAGTAAATAGTGAAGTATTTCAGATCCTGGTAGATCTGCTGGCAGACGGGCTGTCATTGTCATCCCATGCTAAAAACACTCTTGACAGCGTGTGACTGTGTGTGTCAGAGAAAGAGAGGTTTTAAAGTTTAGTGGAGATGAAAAAAGCAGGTTGAGCCTCCAGCTATAGATGACTCTAAATCCTGAAACACATTAAATACATTAATGTATAATGATAGAGCTCTCTGAGGTCTTTAATTAACTACCCGTGATCCTGAGCACAGTTCGACAGGGGCAACAAAGTGGATGCTACATATTTCCAGTGACTCTAACCAGCTGAGGTGTCCCCCACTTCACGTTCCCCTGGGAGTAAAAAGTGTTAATATGGAACAGCAGTCCTACAGGAACTGCATGCTGTACATCGATCTGTGCTGCTGGAGTTTTGCTGGCCTGGAGCCTGACTCATTAAAGGAAAAACAAGAGTCAGTTTTACTCTCTCACTGCTGGTAAACGGTGAAAGTAGAGCTGTGAATGTAGCTCGAGAGAGTCAGTCTAACTGAAGAGCCAGAAAGCATTTCCCACACAGAAACAAGAAACGCAGTTTGTTTTCTACTGTACCAAAACCCTTCCTCTTCTTCATTCAGCTGCTTCTTTTCAGGTGTCGCCACATCTGCACATCTGAGCATCTGCTTCTATCTCACCCTATCCCTAGCATCCTCCTCTGTCACACCAATCATCTGCATGTTCTCTTAACTACATCCACGAATCTTCACCCTCTCCTCTTTGTGTTCAGCAAACAGTAGCAGTTTGCGGTGGCACCCTGATCAACTAACGATTGATTAGGGAATCACATTCTTCATGAGCTGCACGTTTGACTTGGCAAAGATTCTGTCCCGGATCCCATTTATCTGGGCTTGGGACCGACACTAGGAGTACACTGGCTTGTGCAGGTTTTGGGCTTATCCAAGGAACTTCAGGGTTTACTCTGCTAAGTAGGTGGTTCACTTACCAGACTATATCGCCATAGTACCTTTTGGAGCTGGTTAGGTTCCAGATTAGGGATCAACAGTCAATCCTCTGGAAAATAGCATCACCATTCCTGGAAGGTCTTTTGACCTCTGGCTGCAGAATAGACGAGTCTAAAGTTTTTCAATAGTGTCTAAAGTCTGTGTTTCCCTGATGAGCATCTGTAATAAATATAAATTCTTACACGCAAATTTATTCCTCGATTTTTTTTTTCGTTCTCCTTTTGGCTGTTCAGGATGTTGGGCTGTACAACGCATACAGAAAAACAGATAAAGTAAGAAGATGCTGTTCAGTGCATTGAGAGCATTTACATGATGAATATGATTGCTGAAATAAATCAGTGAGTTTACATGTACACAATCCACTAGGTGGTATACAATGCTTCGACCACAGTCTACAACTGCTTTCTTGTCTCATCGGTTCTTTGCAGTTAAATTGATGCTGCCTTTGACACAAACCATTAGAAAATCCCTTTCACTGGATCTTGTTGTAAATATAAACAGAAGTTTGGTAAACCACTGGTGTAATGTTCGTGATTGGTTTTCTAAACAGGCCACTTTTTTCTTTTTTTGTTTCTTTTTTGTCTGTTTCCAAAAGAACGGACAGTCTGACATCAGCGAGCACACCTTCAAATGCTTACACTAGTTATTTTACCCTGTGAAGCCATAGCACCATGTACACCATAATGGACCGGTGACATTTTTGTTTCAGAAATTTCTTGCATTTTGGTCAAAGCTCAGATAAATCTGGTCCCTGATGGTCTACACTTTACTCAAAGACACCACTTTTCCGTGCTTTGAAAAATATGGCTGCAATGCTTCATATAATGCCGGTAAACTGAGCAGTCAGGTTACACATCACGTTACAGTGAACTCAGACTCTTGGAGGAGTGGTCACACAGTTTCTTTGGATTTCTGTGCAGCAGGTACAGTTCACATGTTCCATCCCAGTCCGATGTGCGTGGCCAGCAGGTAGCACATGCCGATCATGCATGTCATTATCATCATGGGGAATCCCAGCCTGTACAAAACAAGAGAAGAGCAAGTTAGTTGCAATGATCAGCACTTCAGTCAGGATTATTGGAATAAAAAGATTTACGGGCTGCAGTAACCTGCATGTGGGGGCCTGTCTCTGATCAGGGCATATACAGAAAGTCAGAAACAGCAATAAAGGAGGAGCAGGGGGACAGGTGGGTTGTCAAGTGGCTTGCAGATGTGCCCTAGATTAGCCATTTGAATTAACAGGATAGTATGAATTGTCCTGGACTAGATCTATGCTTCACTTGTTTTCTTTTGTTGAGATAAATATAGTTAGCCACTCAGAAAAGTCACAGAGCTCAACCTCCACCAATATGACCATTTTAAGGAAAATTATTTGGAGTCTCACCAAATGCTCCCTCTGTCCACCAACTCTTGTGTAAGAAGGAGCTGGTTGGCAGTGTTTTTGTAGTTGTTGTCATCATCTTAAAATGTATTCATTGTTCCCATCAGTGTGTGTCTTCTATTATTTTGCTATTGTTGCATGATTCAATGGAAGCTGTTAGTTTAGCAGGAACGTAAGCTCCAGTACACACAGAAAAAGAAGTCAAGAAATGTTGTTTACTACTTTTATTATTTTCTACTATATACCTTTCACTCTTACTGAAGCAAACAGCAATTTGCTTCAATAAGTGTAAAGCATCGTGTAATGTCACATGAAGTCATAGCTTCCATTTATATTTATCCTGGTTTATTCTCTCAAATTTCTCCTTTAAAAAAATATATTACCAAAAATGGCATTAAAAAAATCCTGGCACTAAAGCTAGGTTTGAAAAAGTAATAAAAGACCTTTATCTTACAGGGATTTTTCTTCTCTTTATTATCACCTCTCTTTGTGAGAGACATATTTTGACCTTTGGCAGCCACAGACAGTCCAACTCCTCATATAAAGAAAACCAAATTATTGCAAAATCCAGTCTTATTGATGTGTGACACTTTGCTGAGCTCCACAACTTACTCTGTCTTCACTCAGCCTGCAGCACAGGGAGGTCAGAGCTGCACAGCCGCTCAGAGCCGTTAAAAATTCAGCGTCTTGATCAAGGACACATCAGCCTGCAGGTGAAGGCTTGTCTTCCTGCACGCTAAAGCTAGCAGATGCTCCGAGACATGCACATTGCGTACAACGGAACAATCTAAAAAGTCCTCGGCTGCATGCACACATCTCATTAGTCCAAAGTTGTTTATTGAAACAGAAATGGCTTCACATGGTGACATTTTTAAAGGCCAGCTTTCTTCTGAATGTAATGACTGAAATGTAGTCTCCTGGATGAAGCATTGGTGGTGACTGCTGCCATGTATGTTTCTGCTTCTCACCCCTGAATTAGTCTCCTTAATTAAAATGTGTCCTTAGATGACTCCTGAACTGCAGATGGCTCGTGTTTGGATGTCTACCATGTCCTATATGGACACATGGCAGCTCCGAGGGCCAGAGATCTGTTCATCCTCACTCTGTGCCACGGATCACTTTGGAGGACAAAAACTGCATGTATATTCAGCGTGCCAGCCATCAGTCTTCATCAAAGCAGAAAAGGACTAATTAAGACTAAAAAATAAGAGAACATATCATTAAAATATCATTGAGAGCAGATGTTGCTCTCACTCTGACAGCCTGAAGAGAAAAAGTTTGGGCCAAATCAGCCTGGAAAAAAAACATAAACATACAGCTGCTATATTATCTGTGTTAATCTTTATATTAGGATTAAAGACAAAATGATGACAGTTCATTCAAATGCAATTATTATGACGATAAACATTATATTTGGCTTACGTGTGGTTTTATGTGTATAAAGCACACAGATGCTTATATGAAATGGCAAGGTTAACCGTGCAAGTCTGATTGTCAGTGAGACAAAAGGTTACCTGTCTCTTTGCTGTGTGTATTTTCAGTTAACCTGGACATGACCTCTTCTTAGAGGATCTCAAGGAACTGAGATGACCATTTGGGTTCAGAATGAGTATCTGATGATCACTGCAGCTGCCCACAACTTTGTTTTCTTTTTCATTTTCTTATGTTTAGCTGCCTTTACGGGTCACTACGGTAGTCATATATGGTTGTCTGCTGAAGGCCAAGGCTTTTAAAGTTCTCATCAGAGAATTATCTTCCTCTGATGATGCAACTCAGAGAGGTGACACTGACCTTCAGCAGCTCATCAACCAGTTTGCCCATGCCTGCAGTGAGTCTGGGCTGGCTATCAGCATCAAGAAAACCAACAAAATGACTGATTATTTTAGCTGTTTGGGTTCTGTCGTCGCCAGCAGCAGCCTATAGTATCATTTACTAGGCAAAAAGACAAACAAGAGAGTGTGGGAGATCAAAAGAATCACCTAGAACCATTTCACCTTCACTGCCTACAGCAAATAGTCGCTAACATAACTGTGCTTAAACAAGCCAGCTCTCAGAGCATGCTTCTCCACCTCCTGTCAGTGTCGATCGGAGCCTATCTCGATCGACACGAACATCAGGTGACCAGATGTCCCCCAGCATCTCAGCAGGTCCTGTTTGCAGATGGGACCTGAACATCAGGGGAACGACACTAATCATCACAGTTTGGCGTCACAGTGCTGAAGGATTGAAGAAGGGCAAAACAAAAAAAGCTGCAACCAATAGCTAAAGGACAGGAGCCACAATAGCAACCAGAGACAACAAGCTCGAGCCCTTGATCCACACTTCAGCTATGTTTGCAGCACTTGCAAGGATCACATTACTGAACCACTGTTGATTCATGTTATATGATACTGCCAAAAAAACCTACATTACTTCTATGATAGCATGTAGGTATTTCCACCACACATCTAGTGTGTGTGTGTGTGTGTGTGTGTGTGTGTGTGTGTGTGTGTGTGTGTGTGCGCGTGCGCGTGTGCGTCAATGCAATATAAATATTTGCCAGTTCATCTACTGATTGAAATGAGACAGCTACCATCTATTTCCTGTTCTGTTCAAAAGCGTCTGGATGCATTTCTCTCTACCGAGATGGGTTTTGTTTTTATCCTAAAAGGGTACATTTTGTCAATTTAAGCTTTTTTTTTGTTTCTTTGTTTTATATGTCCTCTTATAAATACAATATGGGGTTATGAGATTTGTAAATCATTGTGTTCTGTTTTTACCTGTTTTATACAGTGTCTCTACTTCGTAGGATCTGGGTTTATATGTGTAAGTGCCTGTGTGAAAACTGCAGTCAGTGTACCATGTCTGCTGCTCAAACTAAATTATGAGGTTTCCAGTGAATATGCTTGCAGAAATGGCAAATAAGTACTTGGACTGAAGAATATTAAGACTTTATAGGCACTTCAGCACTTTCGTGATTTTAAGACATTCTGCATTTTAAGTGTAACAAAAAAACAGTTTCAAAGTCTCAACTGAGTCATAATGGTCATTGTCATTTTTGAGTGATTATCATTATTTACGCATCAGTAGCAAAAGTGGGGGAACTGTGAAGAAAAGATGAAAATAATATAAGATTTACTAAAAAGATTTTAGATAATATATATTAAGTTTAGAATTTATAATTTTCTTTTTTCTGATAATAAGTAAATAAGTAAAAGATCTACAGAAGAAAGCATCTTCTGTAGTACTGGTATCACATCTCTAAACTTTCAGTATGGTGAATGTCTTTTCTCTAGAAGGTGTAAGCATTTTGCAGTAGTAACATTCTTAGTTTCCTAACCAAACGTTCTTCATTTTCATGCACCTGAAAGGAACTGTCTTTTTCTTTTCTTGTCTACCATCGCCAGACACTGCTAGTTACTGTGGTGACCTAATCAGATGAAAAGCACCACCTTCAAGACACTGAAAACTCTGACTTCAGGCTCAACATATTTCAATAACCTATTAGTCTGTTTTCCTGTTGGCCCCCCAGCTCACCAGTGGTCCCTTCCAAGATTTAGATCACCATGTGGCGCTCTCAATCTTGGGGTTGAACTGCAGCTGCAGCTGCCAGAGTAGAGCCAGAGCCAAAGAAAATAGTTCCTTTTCAGTGCTCCATAGAATGCCTTTCACCTTATTTTCCATATATTAATAAAGAGTTTCCTAAGTCCAGTCCTTTCTCATCAATTTAGGTTTTTGCACATGACAGTTTGCAATCAAGCCGTGGTAGATCTGCTGCATGAAATTCTGTCCTGATTAAACAAAGACAAAAGCAGCCGATGATCTGTGTTGAATTTGTTGATTAAAATGGAAGCTCTCACAGGTTTTATTAGCAAGCCAAACACACAAAACGTTTAGTGTAGCTGTCAATATGCACCCCGACAGCTACTGGAAATAATATTGTGCAAAAAGATGCAAAGTGGTTAATGCTACCTATTTTGTGCAGAGGTCAGCATCCTCATATGTTGATGAACCACAGAGAAGGCATGGAATAGAACAGGTCTGTCAGTGCTCTGAAGCACCTCCAGACTGGACAGTAACGCAGCATTCAGCTGCACAGATGTAGGGCCATTTCAGCTTTGGTGTTTATATTGATTTGTAATGTGAGAATTCAGTTCTTTGACTACACTGCTCGGTTTCTGTTAATACCACATGCTTTTCATTTAAACTACACTATAATCACATATTGCTTGTGGGAAAAATGAGCCTGTCTGGCTGTTATCGCTGTCAGACAGCCTGAGGTCACCTCTGCATGAGTGAATCCCTTTCTACGGAGCAATACCTATTTCCCGATCACAGGCACATCATGAGGGGACACGGGGCACATGAAAAAGACACCACAATATACCACAGAGAGGAGCAGGGTTCACCTTGTCTAAAAATCCCCATCAAACCTTGTGATCTCACACAATGACTTAATTGCATATGATGGGAGCTCTTTGAAAGTCCTGATGCAATCTCAAAGACTCTTTAGATAAACCAATGGGCCGCGCTTCTCTGACTGTGGAGGCTGTAGGACAGAGAGAGCAGCGCTGCTCCCCTGTGATAATGGTTGACCTGTTCTATTCAATGAGCACAAAAAGCACACTGGTGCAGTGTTTAAGCTGTGAAGCGGTACACAAAAAAACCTCCAAAAATATGTATGAGCGTGATTGCAGTGTTTATTAGAAATAAAGCTAAAACACCTGCCTCTGTAGTGCAGAGGCAGCTTTTCTGTATAGATTTCCTGCAGGTGACTGTACATGAGCAACATGTGGTCCAAAAGAACAAGACACTCTGAAGCACCTTACATTGTCTAATGTCATTTGTTTTTGTGTCTCAAAACTGTAGCAATTTGCTACATTGATAGGCATTTACAAGTACATTTTGCAGTGGGTCTATTCTAGAGTGCTTGTAATGCCACGGGTGCATTACAAGCACCCGTGGCAGTTTCTATTCAACCGACCAACATACAGAGCTGTTACTTTAGTGATGCACTTTAGGTTAATGGTTTGTGGCGAGGTGGATGATAAGGGCCTTGAGGCACGAAGGAAGCAACAGGGACCATGCTAACTGCTGAGCTATTCGAGGCTACTCATTTTCCTTTGTGATGGCTTATCAAAAAGGCATTTGTGCCCCCGTGGGCTCATCTGGCCCCTGAATTCATCCTCCTGATACAGCACTAGTCAATCCCAGCTGCCCAGACTTCGCTCCCCCTTGCCTGTCTCTCTGAACAGCAGTGACCCTTGCCACAGACATCCAATTACAGACAGTGCTTCAGCCAAGAGCAATGCTCCTGTCCAATAACTGTAAACACAGCTAGAGCGGGAGAGAAGTAGAGCTGACGGGTTGCAACTGTTCCCCTCCATTTCAATGAAATCCTTTGCAGACAGACGTCCCAGAGTCTTTTTAGTGCACTAAGAAATTTGTCAACGAGCTTTAACCAACTCTGACACATTTTCCACCAATTACTTCACTGGCTTTAGCGGCGTGTCAGAGCCAACTGAGCAGGTAACGAAGGCTGAAAAAGTAATGGTGGAATTTTCTTAATGCCAAAGGTCACCTGAAGTTGTTCTTTTTCTTCTCAGCCACAGTCTCATTAGCTGTAAATAGGAATATCAATGAAGCAACCTGCTACAGATCAGATTACAATATTAAAACGTAGTAGTAACATAGTAACATATCCTGTAGCTTAGGTATGTGGGAAGTACAATACTTCTGCAAGTCTTTAGAATAAATTACAACTCACTGAAAACAACAAATTGAGCATAGCGTTAGTTGAGTTAGGCCACAAAGTCACAATCCTGGCTGATCAGCTGAGCTGATTAGGGTGTGCCTTTCAGAGTGATGCTGTGCACAGTGTAGACTTAAGGACCCAAAATGCTGAACGCAGGAGGATTCCAACAGAAAGCTGATAGTAAAATCCACAAGGTAACAAAAAGTCCAAATACAAGAGAAAATAGACAGTGTAGACAGCAAGGCAAATACGAGGAGCCAGAGAATTTAAACAAAAGGTGAACAGGACAGCACAGAAGAAAACGCACACACACACACACACACACACACACACACACACACAAAGAATTACAACGAGGTGAAGACACACAGGATAATCACTCAAGGGGAAGCAAAACTTTCACAGTAAAACAAGAGACCGGTACATGGAAACTAACTTCTAACAAAATATCAGACCAGGCAACACACTAAAACAGAGGAAGACAATGGGAAATGTAGGAGCCATTCTTGGGTTAATACCTTATGTGGTCACTAGAGGTCACCTTTTTCTGTTTTGATTATGTAATGTAAAGGTATTTAAGGTAGACGCACGTAATCGGCGTCAGGTGTGTCATTGAGAAGGCAAACAGTTTGTGACGTTGCGCTGTTATGCTAAGTCGATACAGAATAAAGACCAAAAAGGACAAGATACATACTGCTGGAGTTATTGGACTGTGAACTTAATTCATGCATACCAGTGACATCGCGTCACCCCCGTTAACGACCACCTCAGTGGCTTCAAGCGTAGGCTTAGCCTCTACAGGAAACATCTGAGAACTAAAAGCTAGAACATTTGGTTGGTCCCTGTGGACCTATCCCTGACTCCTCCGGTCCACATCCTTTGGGCATTTAATGGTGTGAGAATGTGTGTGTGTGAATACTAGAAAGTACTGAGTAGAAGGCATTAATAAGTTCCAATCAATTTAGCATTTTCCTTAAAATCAAGCCAGGATTACACAACTTAAACAACTGCAGCATCTGCAAACCTCTTAGCAACCCATCTCTTCCTCAGCTCCTCCTTTTTATATCACAGAATTTTATCGCTGTTATATGATGAAGCCCAGTCTGTTCTGTCTGGGGGTGCTCGGTCCTGCTCTCCTCGTCTCCAGATTTTCACATGGAAGGACTGGGAATGGGAACATCAATGTTCTTTAGACTACAAACTGAAATGTCACCTTCACGGCGGCGCTTCAGAAAATGTTAGGTGGTAAGTATAGATAGAATATCAGTATAAATGTTGTCTGTGATTGATATGATGAAAGCACTGTCACTCCATCCAGTGAAAACACTTTCAGATCTTTGATGACAATAATCTACAGTAAGCCACAGACACCGCGTTCAGTCATAAGTGTCACAAGTTTAATGTTAAATCAAGTCTCTGTTCAAATCTGTTACACAAATCCCAAAAGAAATCCTCTGACTTTGTCTCTTTTCAACCCTCACGGGCATTACATTTCCACTGTTCCTAAATAAAATAGCGATGCAGTTCCAACCCAATGGCATATCAAGTCTAATCAGACTCATATTCATGCTTTTTTTCAACATAACTGACCCCTTCGGCTTCTCCAACATGCAAACCATAAAGCGTGTCTGACTGCTGTGTCACCAGGGTGCAAATTATCAGTGAGCAGGTGGCAACCTGATAGGAAGCCTGCTGACCATCCAGCCTGCGATATAACCACATTTTCTGCCATTCATTCGACTTTTTTTCTTGTAACCACCCTAGAGTTCTGAAATCAGGCTCCACGGTTGGACGGTTTCACTCAGTATCAGTTCAATCAGTCACACATATGTTACACTGTTTATGCCTCTTTCATGGTTCAGCGTGACTGGGGGACTTCTATTTCTGTCGACATGAGAGAATATTGCTGCAGGTTGACTTCCTCCACACTCACTGTAGTAAACATTTCTCTACAGGGTCACTGAAGAGGACACAGACTCAAATCACTGCTTGCACTACATAACAAACCCGTGCGTGTCGTGTTGTTTCCTGGAGTCTGCTCACAGAACGCTGCACCTGCTGCACAAAGACAAACTAAACGTGTTCTGTCACATGATACTCAGTGCGACACGTTTTCTCTAAATGTTCTCAGGCTATTCATACACACTGTTGGCAATTTCTAATGAAACATATGATGGACATAAATGTGTAAGTAGCCCCTCAGGCTGAATAGCCTATCGTATTTCAGCACCACAAACCAAGAACAGAGGAACTTTTCAAACTTGCTGTTTATGACCTCTTTGTGCATGGGACTGCTTCGTGCTGTTAATGGCGCCTTTGCTTACTTGAAGAACTCCATGAAGGAAAAGCCATATCCATGTTGCTCAGCGATGCCTGCACACACAACGTTGGCTGATGCTCCTATCAATGTGCCATTTCCTAAACAGAAAAGAGAAAAAAGTCAGAGAAAACTTTTCTTTAATGTCAGGTGTGTTTCCAGAACCACTAAAAACTGTAATTAAACCTATACTGAAAAAGGACAATCTTGACAAGACACAAATGAGCAACTACAGGCCGATCTCAAATCTCCCATTTTTAAGTAAGATCATTGAAAAAGCAGTTTCTCAACAGCTCAATTACTTCTTAAAACAGAATAACTGCTATGATGCCTTCCAGTCAGGTTTTAGACAGAGCCACCGCACTGAAACCGCTCTGACCAAAGTGTTTAATGACATATGTCTGAATACAGACAGTGGAAAAATGTCAGTCTTAGTTTTACTGGATCTCAGTGCAGCATTTGATACAGTTGACCACAACATATTACTCAAACGACTGGAGAACTGGCCAGGTCTTTCAGGAACTGTACTAAACTGGTTCAAAACATACTTAGAAAACAGGAAATACTTTGTATCAATAGGTAACTTCACATCTGAGCAGACAAGTATCACATGTGGAGTCCCCCAAGGTTCCATCTTGGGACCCCATCTGTTTAACATTTACATGTCCCCACTGGCACAGATTATAAAGAACAACAAAATAAACTATCATAGCTATGCAGATGACACACAAATATATATCAGGCCCTGTACAAGCTCTTGGTAAATGCACTGAGGAAATTAATGACTGGTTGTGCCACAATTTTCTCCAGCTAAACAAAACTGAAGTAATAGTCTTTGGAGCCAAAGAAAAACGATTACAGGTCACCTTCAATCTATACACCTAAAAACCACAAACCAGGCGAGAAATTTGGGTGTAGTGATGGATGCAGACCTAAACTTAGAAAAACACATTAAGACAATAACAAAGTCAGCTTACTATCACCTCAAGAATATTTCAAGGATAAAAGATCTGATGTCTCAACAGGACCTGGAAAGACTAGTCCATGCATTCATCTTTAGTAGGCTTGATTACTGTAACAGCATCTTTACAGGTCTACCTAAAAAATCAGTCAGACAACTACAGCTCATTCAGAACTCTGCTGCTCGAGTCCTCACTAAGACCAAAAAAGTGGACCACATCAGTCCAGCTCTGAGGTCTTTACACTGGCTGCCTGTCCGTCAGAGGATAGACTTTAAAGTTCTGATGCTGGTCTATAAAGCTCTGAATGGTTTAGGACCAAAATACATCAGTGACCTCCTGACGCAGTATGAACCTTCCAGATCCCTCAGGTCATCTGGATCCGTTTTTTTATCAGTTCCCAGAGTCAGAACCAGACACGGAGAAGCTGCATTCAGCTTTTATGCTCCATATATCTGGAACAAACTCCCAGAAAGCCTCAGATCAGCTGAAACACTCAGTTTATTTAATTCTCAGCTGCATTTGAATAAAACACCAAATCCACTCTTTTAAGCTTAAAATTCAAAACTTACATTTTAACTACTGATTTTATCTACTGTTTTTTTGTTTTGTGTTTTTTCTCTGTAATCAATTTTAAATCGTGCTTTTTATTGTTTTTGTTTTTTAATGTCTCTGTAAAGCACTTTGAATCACCTTGTTGTTGAATTGTGCTATATAAATAAACTTGCCTTGCCTTGCCTAAACTGCTTTTTATTACTTCCCAGCAAACAGATAATGCTACAAAGCTGGACGCTCATATTAAACATGGCTAAAGTTGCAAATAAACAGGTCAGTGTCTCTGAAACGCTGCACTGTTTCACATCCTGTTTCAAAAACATTTTGTTTTCTATTCTTGGATCTGATTGGCATTAAATGGAGGGTCTCTCTTTGTACGGTTACAGAAGAAGCTCTGCTCTGATCACAGCACGCCCACCCACCTGCTCAGTCTGACTCAGAAATACTTCCATCAGTTTGCTTAAAAACATTTTTGGAGGTTGACCAGAAAAGAAAACTTGAAATACTATGCATTTCCTGAAGAAGTAGAGCCGTGGGTATTAGTTTTCTTTTTCTCAGAAAAAAAACAAAACAGCTAAAGACCAGAAAGTCAGCTTCTGCAATCAGAGCCCACTATGAAGGTGGATCTTTAGCTGATTAATGTTAGAAGATGATGATTTTTTTTTATCTGTAAAGGGAAATGAAGACGAGTTAGAAAAGCACATTTCAGTGATGTGTAAATAACCAATCTCTGAAATGTTTGTCTTGTATTGACACTTGAAACAAATCTCTACTGTAACTACTGTTTCAGAATGGGAAATTATGTTTCTCAGTTGGTTTCCTCTACTGCTGCAAGAGGAAGACACACTGCACAGAACCATCACAGCCTGTTTGCAGAAGCTCAATAGAAGTAACAGGAACGTGTGCTTTTAAGGAAGAGAGACCATAAAGAGACAGGATGCTTGTTTTAGGAAGAGAGTGGAGCGAGTGGCTGCATCAACGTTTAGTAGAAGATGAGTAATGACTCGTGTTCAACTCGTGCAATGCTGCTCTAGAAGAACCCAATAATAAAAATATAGAGCTGAGCAAAACACAAGTTAACGTAAAGTATTTCATCATTATGAGCATGAGTACTTTACAGTCTTATAATACTGTTGATCACTTTTCTGACTTAATCTCATAAAGCATTGCTTTAACAGTCAGCACGCGTACCCATCCTGCAGTTCAATACTGCCCACATCTCAAAAGGTGTCAGTGTGAGGATGGAGCTTGGCAGGGGCAACATCACACTGCCAGTCGATAAAGACCTGTCACAGTGCAGTTGATTAAACTGAAACACTATGACAGCTCTCTCTCTCCATTTGTGTCCTTCCCATCGGAGCAGAGTCACAGTCGGATGAAGGGCTGGCCACTGGGGCGCAGAATGAGCCTGACTGAGGCGATCTCTGAGAGCCCTGAGGCTGCTCCCACAAAGAGCGCAGCCTGACCTCCCCGGGGAGCGACACAGCTGTACAAAGTGTGGCTGTCACCTGGAGCATATGTTGTCTTCTTCTGGCAGCCGTCATCAATAAAGATCCACACCTTTCAAACAGGGATAAACTATAAAGTCCCTGATGTCTGTGAGGGAGTCTGGAAGGCTGTTGTGTATTTTTCCCAAAACTGACATGCAATGCACTATTTTTATAATACAGCATATGAGGCCCAAGAAGCAATACTTACCACCCAGACAGGCTCCCATAGCCAAAGCAAAGATGAGCGGTTTAACTGGCAGGTTCACATCTGCATCCTGACTCAGGTTGATGAGAACAGGAATCTGCAGAGACAGATTTAAAATCATGAAAACAGCTCTTTCTTGAAATTTTACATACTCTGTTTTTAATATGGCGAAATGTTTTTTTTGCTTTTTTTAACTACAAGAAGGATGTGTGTGTGTGTGTGTGTGTGTGTGTGTGTGTGTGTGTGTGTGTGTGTGTGTGTGTGCATGTTTAGACACCTTTGTGAGGACAGAAAATTGGGATGTCACTATACTTGTGGGGACCAAGAGTCACCACGAGGCATTTTTGAGGTTCAAAATGTGGTTTTAGTGTCAGGGTTACAATTAGGTTATGTTTAGGCTAAAGGTTAGGCATTCATTTTTGATGTTTAGGGTAAGCGGCTAGGGAAAGCATTATGTCAATTAGATGTCCTCACTAAGATATGAAAGTGTGTGTGTGTGTGTGTGTGTGTGTGTGTGTGTGTGTGTGTGTGTGTGTGTGTGTGTGTGTGTGTGTGTGTGTGTGTGTGTGTGTGGTTATGACGCAAGTGCTATACAATAACATGTTTATGGACTCCATGATGAATAAAGCCTGACTGTTCTCCTTTTGGAAAAGTATTATTATTTCTCTGAATTCTTTCTAATACCCAGCAGGGGGCGACTTCTCCAATGTGAAAGTACATGTATATGAGAGTGTACAAAAGTATGAGAAAACAAACCTACACCTGAGTTGAGTTAAGGCCTCCATATACCTCTAGTATTTCCTGATAGGATCTTATTTGCTGGTCTTATTCATTATTGTTCATATTTTGAAATATGTACCAGTTTTGACAGCTGCTTTATATCAATCTACATGTCTGCCCCTTGTTAGGGAAGCAAACTTTAAATGTATTTTTGCAGGAATGGGTAAAATAGTTTAAAAAAAATGCATTTGAAATGATTATGAACAAACAGTTGGATGTTTTTAAGGAGAATATTTGTTTGTCCTCTTCCGATGTACCTCTTGTTTCGCTGCTCTCACTGCAAGATCGGTAATTTTTTTATATACAGACATGAGTGAAGTATCAATAGTTTCCTGTAACTCTGGCACAGAAAGCAAATAAGTGTAAATGCAGAACTGTTGCTTTGAAAATGCTTCTAAATTGATTCATTCATACATAAATTTCCTAATCTCAATCACTGCGGACTGAAGGGGGAAAACAAATCTTTCCTCAGCCTCACTCTATTGTGCCAATCAGGACATCTTTCTTCTTATCAGCGGTGCACTGAATTGAAAAGTGACGCGCTTTGAAGTGCTCTTCTTTTCAGGTAGAGCAATTCTTGCATGGACCTGAAACTATGGGCGAAAAAAAAAAAAACAATCAGAGAAAAGGACATTTTCAAAAAAACCCATGGACACACTGACTAGTCAAAAAATGTGATGGTTTAATTCTCACAGGCAGCATCTCATTCTGTCAGTGGGATAACGTCTTTCTCCTTTCTCAGTGTCATTTTAATTGAGCACAGAGGCACTCCTCTGAAACATTGATCTCTGCTGAATCTATTAATTTGGGGGGAAAAGACAGCTGACAATAGACGTGGTGAGGCAGTAGCTGTTCAGACAGTTTTTACAGAAATAAACCTCCAATTATGAAATGATTAACACATGTTGAGCCTGTTTTTTTCCTCCCACATCTGATTAATACATAATACAGCCCTAATCCCTGGTTGCATCTCTGCCTGTTATGTATTTTTTAATAAGAACCCCCCTCCCCGAATGATACACACCTTTTAACTTCTGTATCAGCATTTAATTGCTGTAGCTACACATTATAAATCGTCTCTCTTCCATGTCACAGAATCTGCATGTGACTTGTTTGTGTAAGAGTGTGATATGCTGCAGCTGTGATATCAGGCTCAGGGCTCTTACCATGGTGGCAGTGAAGGGAATGTTGTCAATGAGAGAAGAAGCCAGAGCCGAGACCCACATCACCAAGATAATGGCTATAGCCAAGCGCTGGTCTTCTGGCACCGCCTGACAGGGGAGATAAGAGTGACAGATAACTGCTACTTTTATTGCCGCTCACACGCACACACCCTCTCTCCGCCTTCGTTGATTTAAATCAAACACAACAATTATGTTCAGTCTCTGACACCGAACCCCTCCTCGGGGAGCAGAAGCTGAGAGGATGAAGCTGTTTGAATGTGTGACACAACCACAGGTGGTGGCTTTGAGTGTTATCTGTGCTGTAGGCGCACAGCGAGGCTGGTTCACCGCATACGGTGTGATTTGAACCCTCTTCATGGCGACAGTAAGGAAAACAGAGTCTCCTCCTTTATTTCAGCTGTCCTGCAGCCCTACGAAGAGAGAAAGGCCATGCAGCTCTCACAGCATGTTGTCCATGGTTCTGGGACACCGAGTGGGTCACAAACCACAAATAGCACACTACCTGTCATGTGTCATTATTAGGCTCGCAGGGGCCCGCAGTCTAAACACAAGCTGACGTAGCTATTACTGGTGCAATTCTCTGCTAAGAGACACCTCGCTTGCATGACGCACAGAGGCAAGAATATGGGTGAAAATTACTTCAGACCCCTTCAGCTGCCTGCAGGAGTCAGATGCAAAGAAAATAATTGAATTCCGAGCCAGGCAGAACAAAAGGATCGATATGCATGGAATGCAATATCGCATCACCTGTGCCCAATTATCAGCGATGCCAGTCGCACAGAGACCTGAGAGATGACTGTAAAGGTTCAGAATCAAAGGGGAAACTTACTTTTATAAGCAGTGCTGTCTGTTCTCCGATATAGTCAATAAGCTGCAGCTGGGCTAAAGCCTGAAAAGGGAAGAGGAGAAGATTAATAAGGGAAAAAAAAATCAGAAGAGAATCACTTAAAGGTGAGATTAAACCGAAAGAAGAAAAGCAATTTGGTTTCAATTTAGTGGCTATTAAATAGACAGAGACAGATGTATCCTTGTTATCATTCCAGAGATTGAATATTATTCATGTGCTGGTGAGCACTGCTTCACTGACTCTACACTGTGTTGTAGTTTTGCCCACAAAGAGAGAAACAACAAAGCCCTCACTGTGCTGACAGGACACTTTTCTTTGCATCCTTTCATTGAAGCTCATGGGTGAAAATACAGATAATTACTTTGCACATTGCGAGCTGACTGCCAGCTGCACTGTCAATTGAATCTATGCATTGATTCTGTTTTTCCTTAGTGTCCTGTGAAGCTGCTCGTCAGAGCAGACCCCAGCTAAACCTACATTTATCTTTGATCTGGATGCTTCAAGTGGCTCTAATTAAAAGTTGTTGTTTGGCATCAGTTCTTAGTTTTCAATGTTCAATTTGTGGTCCAAAATTTCCTTGGAAAAAAATAGAAACAAGCTTTCCGTTAAATGCCAGAAGCTTGGCCTGTATGTTAAATACCTCCATCAAAACGAAGAGGCCGGCAAAAAACAGCAGCGTGGCCCACTCCACTCGGTGCAAGATGATCTCAAAATCCTGAATGTCTGCCAGAACCAAAAGCCAGAGCGCACCCAAGATAGCGATCCAACCTGAGAGAGAACAAGAAACACCATCTGACATCTCCCTTTACAGCAGGAAAACATGTTCATATACATAAAAACTCTGAGCACTGACTAGCAGATTTTCACAGATTTATATTAGCAGATTGCTCACACAGTAAAAAACAAAACCTTTATCACATGTTACACATGCAACCACTGTTTTTAAATATCTATCCATCTAGATAGATAGATAGATAGATAGATAGATAGATAGATAGATAGATAGATAGATAGATAGATAGATAGATAGATAGATAGATAGATAGATAGATAGATAGATAGATAGATAGATAGATAGATAGATAGATAGATAGATAGATGCCATTAATGATTAAAAAAAAGAAACTAGCTGGTCTTCGACTTTCTCTCAAATGGATGAATTTTTATGAAGTTTGATGGATTTGTTTTTAAGGTCCCACCACAGGATTTCAGTCAGGCTGAGGTCTGGACTTTAACTAGACCAGCACCTTGATTCGTTTCTTTTTCAGTCATTCTGTAGAATTTTTGCTGCAGTGCTTGGGATCATTTTCCTGTTTCATGAATCGGTTTAGGCAAGTTTTAGTTGTCAGAAAAATGGCCTCATATTTGATATGAGTTTAGTACACTTTGGTATACAGAGTACTTCTTGGTCAGCGTTTGTAGTGTTTGTGTTTGTCCTGATATCATGTGTTTGGTTTACTTCAAACATGTTGCTGTGCACTATGGACAAAGATCTACACTTGGGCTTCATCTGAAATTGTTCCAGAAGTCGTGTTGTTTGTTTAGATGTAGCTTTGAGAGCCTAAGCCTTGCTGCCATGTTTGTCTTAGAGAGAAGAGGCCTTCTCCTGTCAACTCTTCCAACCAAGCCATACGTGTTCAGTCTTCTTCTAATTGCTCTGTCGTGGACTTTACCATTTTAAATGGCAACCAGGGCCTGTAGACTCTGCAATTAAACTCTTGGGTTTTTTCCAGTTACTCTGAGCACTGGACAATCTGAGCTTTTTGGTGAATTTATTGGGATGTCCAATTTTTTGGAAAACTGGCAGCTGTCCTGGATAGAATGAGCCTTATAACTGTTCACAGATTGGTGGACAGCAACAGTTGCTTGGCATGGTGTTAACACACACCTGAATGACCCAGACCAGCAAACCACCACAACGTCTGCTTTTATGGAGGTGCTCACGCTTACTGATGATCAATCAGCTGCATTTGATTAGCAGCACAAGGCTGCTACTTGCCCTCTTAATTCCTATGGAAAAAGTAAGGATGCACTTGGTTTTTCAGCACGTTGCAGAGTCCTGTGAAAACTACATCCACAGTAAGGAGACACTAGATCAGGGGTCCTCAATCCCAGTCCACGAGGGCCGGTGTCCCTGCAGGTTTTAGATCACACCTAAATCACATGATTAGTTCATTACCAGGCCTCTGGAGAACTTCAAGACATGTTGAGAAGTTAATTTATCCATTTAAATCAGCTGTGATGGATCAAGGACACATCTAAAACCTGCTGGGACACCGGCCCTCGTGGACTGGGATTGGGGACCCCTGCACTAGATGAACAAAACTGCCTGAGAATATTGAGAATATTTGGGTTTTGGCACATGTACTCAGTAGGATCTAATAAACAGATCATCGCAATGAAGTGCTACCCGCTGGAAACAAAGACCAAAGTATTTGGTTCATCTGTGTGGGACTGATGAAGTGTTCATTATCACAAAAATGTCATTTCATCACATTGCATTCAGGTGGATGGGAGTTGGCACCAGCCTGCTGATATTTACAATCAGTGTTTCTGAATGAGGGAAGGGGGTGCATCCACTTGGAGAAAATTTGATTAAACAGGTGAGCACCAGTAATTGCCTTGGGTGAGGCCTTAGGGGAAATAATTTCACAACTAAAGGGAATTAGTGAAGAAGGAAGTGCCATGGAAGGACACAAAAGAGAAAGCAACAGAGGGTGGTTTATGTTCAGAGAGGCTGATAAGAAGATGGAAAAACAAACAATATTGCAGTTTAACAGCATGTTTACATGTTAATAACCTGCTAAATTTCTGTTTTTATCACCAATTTTAGTTCTCCAAAATGCCTTTACTCTGAAGGCAATAATAAAAATGAAAAAATCATCATAAAGTTAAAAATAGAAAGTGATTCTGAACAGCTGGGCAATGCGAAATGAGGTGCAGAGAGAAACATAAAAAGTTACATATCAATATTCAGTTTTGGGATTCGTAGCTTCTGTTTTGCTCAGACTGCACCCACCTTACATGTATAATCCATACACTGCCTAATTTATTTATTACATTCATATAGCCTTAACCAGAGCCTTTAATTCATACTTCAGTGGGGAAACAAAGAGACCCTGCAGAGGCAGGATGACCAAAGTTCATTAGGCAAATAGCATGAGTCCAAACGGGGTAAACACAACAGGAGGAACAATGAGTAAAGTGTACACAGGGCACTTTGGGAGATAACGATTTAACAGACTGAAAAAACACTAAGGAGAGGAGCATAACAACACACAGGAGACACTAATGAGAGCAGGAAAATGAACACAGGAGGGAAGTACAAACACAGTGAGAAAGACTGAAGGAACAAAGACAAAAAATAGGAATTTAAAATTAGCCAGAAGGGCAGAAAAACAAGTCCCGTATGTGAGTGACTGCTGTCTGGGGTTGTTTTACGCTACGCCTTTAAGCACTTCTTTTACCAAAATACTCAGGTACTGATGAATGCATTGGGGGGCTATTTGGGGTTCAATATTTTGCCCAAGGCCTTTTTGTCATGCAAACTGGAAATCAAAGCACTGATGATTGAATTGGTAGATAACCTGCTCTATGTCCCAGGCCACAGGCTCCCCCTGAGGTTCTGGCCTCTTCAGGAGTATCCTGAACTACCATCAGGCAGAGTTATGCGAGTCTGTAACAACATTACCCTGGCCGTGCATGTCAAAATCACATGAATGCCACGATCCACAGGGATGCTGGGCACTCATCAAGTGTTTCAGTGTTGCAGCTCATCAGTGTAGTTTCATTTGACACATTTTAACGCTCAGTTAATGAAAGTCAACTTCCGCCATAAACTTTAAACTAGCTCTGGTTCAGCTAACGGAAAATAATTACAACTCCACTTCATGAATTTCTATTTCTCATCACTGTAAAGACACCTTTGATTTCCTCTGTGCTGATTTTTACCTGATCTGTCTTCTGTACGGGAATAAGCCGCAGACACGCCTAAAGAGCTCTCCAATTAAGAAGAGCTTTAAGGTGAGTCTGAGCAGCTGACAGCTGCTGGGAGCACAGCGTCTGAGACAAGAAATATGCTGTAAAAACGTTTCATCACTGCTGTCTTTAAGGCATAGACCAAAGAAAGTGAACACAAGGCATCCTTTAAATGTTAGAATTTAACCAACATAAACAGTTTCAGTCAAATAAAAAAAACTAGAAATTCTCATGAAATTATTCACAAATTACAGATGTAACCCACAACACTGCAGACACATTAGAGGGATCAAATGAGCAGCCAATAATCAGACTGAAATGAAATCTTAGCGTGTAAAGTTAATGAAGCTTTAGTGAGGCTCAATTTTTAAAAGCCATGTAAATGAACAGCCTGGGACTGCTGCAGTAGTCGAATCTGACTCTCACCTGCGTGTAATGAGAGCTGTGTTTGGACCTGCTCCTGTCCCTCCACGGGGACAGAGAACATGCAGCTGTGGGGTCATTCCCATTTAACAAATGTCGCGGCGCAGCGACCTGAGCAGCACCTGTAATTAACCGAGCGTGTTTGGTGGCTGAGTGGCCTCAGCGGCGAGGCGGGGGGATGACAGCAAGTGTATGATGACGGCCATCTTCATTTAGGGACAGTGTTAGCATTATTAAGATGCTGTTAAGATCAAGGAAGTGGGACAGAGGATGAGGGAACGTGGTGGGAAAATAGAAGAGAGAAAGAGAGGATGGGGACAAAACACATAACAGCAGTTAAAAATAAAAAGATACACACAGATATACAAAACACTGGGAGTAAAAAGATGTGATGGCAGATGATATGCTCAGTGCATCATGGGAAGCGCTCCAGCAGCCTAAGCCTATAGCAGCATGAGTAAAAGATGGCGCCGGTGAGGTCGGCTGCCGTCACGACTGCTCCGACCACTTTTTCTTTGTCTTTGTTTTTTAAGTTAGTTTTCAGCGTTTCTAAATCGGCAAAATCATCACCATTGGGTACATTAGGTATGACAGTGACACTCTTGTTTCTATTGGTATACAATGTACTCACAATTCGAAGTTTTTAACTCCGGATCCGAGCTGGCCGAGTGAGATCTCGAGGGAGAACAAAGGGAAGCCGCGGCGGCCTAGAGGGAAGCGAGCCGGCGTCAGGAACAGGCTGAGAGCTCGTGCACACCGCACACCTCTGCCTAGCATCCTGCTCGCCAACGTCCAGTCACTGGAGAACAAGCTTGACGACCTCAGGGCCAGGATAAAGTTCCAGAGAGACATTCGGGACTGCAATCTCCTCTGCTTCACCGAGACATGGCTGAACCCAGCGGTGCCGGACCACGCCATCCAGCCGGCCGAGTTCTTCTCGGTCCACCGCATGGACAGGACACGGGACTCATGGAAGTCAAGGGGAGGCGGCGTGTGTTTAATGGTGAACAACAACTGGTGCAACAGTGCGAACGTTGTTCCTCTCACACGCTCCTGCACACCAAATCTGGAACTACTGTCCATCATGTGTCGTCCTTTTTATCTACCTCGGGAATTTACATCGGCCATTGTAAGTGCCGTTTATATTCCACCACAAGCGGACACGGTCACCGCCTTATGCGAGCTGCATGAGGCACTCACACAGCACCAGACACAACACCGGGACGCTGCGCTTATTGTGACGGGGGACTTTAATAGCGCCAACCTCAAACGCCTCAGCGCCGAACTTTTATCAACACATCACCTGCCCTACCAGGGGTGAAAGGACACTGGACCACTGCTACACTACGGTCAAGGACGGCTACAAG